ACAGCAGCTGCGAGCAAATAGCTTTAGCTTTAAACATAACTTTTATGAATAATTCAGGAAACAAAGTTGTGTCTTTAAAACAGAGGATTCCACGCGGGTCTAATGCATCTTTAGATGAACGGATAGTCATCAGTAGATAAAGGATACGGCCCATTAGTTGTGCCAGAGTCCATCGTTCACCCTCCTCCATGATCCAGCTGCTGTCCTCACTTTCATCAAGATAATGGCAACCTCATATATACAGCCCATGAGCAATGRCCCTGATTTCATTTCTCTTAGCAGCCAGTGAGCAGCTGAGGATGGACCTTATTTTTTGTTGTTTTGTTTACTTGTGTTAGAAGTGTATTGACTACTAAACAAATGCCTGTCAGCGAGATCCATTATGCGCTGGCTGCTCTTGATCCAATGTGCATGCCTCTTCTATGTCTTTGTGAGGTGTGTGCATGTGAGTGTGTGCATGTGAATGTGTGCATGTGAGTGTGTGCGCTTGTGTGTGTGTCTACATGAATGTACCTCAATTTGCTCCTCTTTACCCCCATAGTGCAGCTGTGCCTCAGAGAACTCTTGTGAAGTAATTGAATGAGCTGAAGCCCTGGTTGTGTGTCTGTGTCTGTGTGTGTGTGTCTGTGTGTGTGTAGGAGGGGGGGTAGGTGGTGGTGGAACCTGTGGCAGTGAATGTGGTGCCTGCTGGCCTTATTATCCGTAACACGGCGGCCGCTCTGCCTGCGCTTTCTCATCCACTCATGAATACAGAAATGAATGTGACGGACGTCAGAGGTGAGCGCAGCGGGGAGAGACGGGCCCAGAGGCTGTTTTAATCAGCTCCCAGATAGAACAATCACTTTATCCACCTCCACAGCTCAGAGGTGAATTAGTGTTTAACATTCCAGGGCATGCTTTCTGACGGGGGGACTCCACCCCAAACAACCAATGGACTGCAGAGATTATTGAGAGACACTCTGGTGTTTCTGATGAGTAAATTAGGGCTAAATATGCCCCTGGGACTCAAGAGACTGATATTCCTGATCTGCAGGAAGACCTCTTTTTTTAATAAGAGGCTCTTTACAAGAAAAAAAATTGGGTGTTGTCCCTTTGAAATCTTTGTTCTTGCTGTGTAGAAGTCTTAAAAAAATCCTGATTTCTTCTACTTCTAATCAAACTTTCTCATACGGTTTTAGGTGGTTTTGATCAATGTTTTTTTTTTTCTGAAGATCTTTCAAAAAATACTTTTTTCACCTCTTTAAAGTCCAGTTTTTAAATCAGAGGTCTTCCACAGTTCCTTGTGACCCACTGTCCYGACGGATTTAGATGTTTCCCTAGATTAAATCATCGAGTGACGTTTGTGCTACACTTGATGACATTCTGAGTTGATAATTTATTAATTTGATTCAGGTGTGCCAAAGCAGGGGAAACATGCAGGGCAGTGGGTCACGAGGAACAGGGTTGATGTCCTTACGGTGGAGGGATGAGCAGTGTGCAGAAAAATTAGGAAAGGGTACAAGCAGAGGAGGAAAAAAAGGCATGTCAGGTTTTAAAAGTTGTCTAATTCTAATCTCCATGTTGTTTCTTGTGTGAAGGTGCACGTTTTCCTAAACGACTCCTTAAGTAAGCTTTGCAGAACCTTTTCATAAATGTCATTAAAGCTTTAAAAGCATCTGTCCTTGTCCACAAACATCACTGTCAAACGTAAGAATGACATCAGGGCCGTTCCCAGTCATGTCAGTGAGGTCCATTAGACTTAAGCTCAGAGCCACACCACTTTACAGAGCTTTTCAAAGCAACCTGGTCTCATGGGCAACCTTCTAAAGTACACTTTAAAGTCTAGACGGTGACCTCTGCATTGCTCTGATGGCCAAACAGGCAATTTTCTCATTGATCTTCATGCCGCTGTGGCCCAAACTCATCTCTAAAGGCTCAGAACAAACCTTTTACCATTGTTGTTCTAACAGCACAGAAAGACTGTGGTTTAATGCTTCGAATTCCCTTAGACCTCCAGGAGAAACCACTTAATGACGGTGAAGAATGTGTGATCCAATGTGGGGCTTTTAGCTTAAATCAACATGTGAAGTGATGAGCCATCATCAGCAGTTTAGATTATGGCTGTTTATAAAAGTAACAACACTTGTAGTTAATTTTGTTGGTTTAAACAACATGAAATGCAAAAATTAAGTGTTTTTCTACAATATGGCAGAAAATTATAATTTCTCTTTAGAAATAATGTTTTTTGATGCTTTTGGAAGCTCTGTTTTGAAAAAAAAAAACAGCAAGTCAACAAATATTCAAAAAGTAGATAACATAATCAAATACACACACTCACAATTAAAATAAAAAACGTGTGACCAGACAGCAGCAAGTTGACAAACAGGAATGTAAAGAACAAATAGATGAAAAAAAAAAAACGAAGATTAACAGTAAGAAAATGTTTACTAAAGAACAGTTGGAGCTGTTTTTTTTAACACAAGCTTACTGAAAAGAGCCTGTTTAAAAACCAATCACTTCATTAAACTTGGTTGCTTTTGTTCTATTGGGTCATTGTTCCTTTTCTGGTTCTTTTCTGCTCCCAGTTTTTGGGGACAAAGGCTGAAGCTGAGGCAGAGCTGTCCACAGCCGGAGTGATTAAATCTGGATCCCTCGCCGGCTCTCTCCATGGTGCTGAAAGAGCCCTATATCAGATTACAGGCAGCCAGAATAGGACCTCAGCTAATCCATTACAATAATTGATTGACAGAGCATTGAAAGTGGTCCTGTAGTGAGCGCCAATTACAGTCATGTCCTATTGCACTTCCAAATTGGCTCCGTTTGGCACGGCACATGGAAGTAATCACTCATGTGGGAAGTACAGGAGGCTTCTGATGATAATAAGGATGATCTAATCTGAGTGAAATAACCAAAATGCTCCCTCAGAGTCACTGGTTAATGTTTGACAAGAAGCAACGCAGCAACGCTCCAACAATGGACAGCTTTAGGCCTCAGTTTGGACTCTTCCTCCTGTAGGTGGTGCAAGAAAGTCAGAACTGCAGCTCTCAAACTTCTGCTACATCCTTCTACTGAGTAATGATAAAACTTTACATCAGAGTGAAAAAACCATAAAAACATTATTATCTTATTTTTAAACTTCTCCAGCTGCACGTCCTGTTTCATCACAGTGGCAGCAAGAAGAAAAGGAGAGCAAAGTGAGGAATGCTATAGGAGGATGTGGTCCAGTCTGCATTAAAGCAGGCTGCAGCTGTATGGTAATGAGGCGCCGAGGCTTCCCGTCCACGCAGGGCAGCACACGCCACTGAGCAAACACGCGCATGCGTCCCTGCAGCCAGGGGCCAGGGCCCTGCAGTACTGATGTCGGGTTAAGGGGGATGGTGTGTGTGTGTGTGTGTGTGGGGGGGGGGGCACGATGAAGAATAGGAACTCGTTAAAATGCCATCAAAGCTTGTAGCCGCAACAAACCACGACTAATAGAGGACTGCAAGAACAACAGGAATTAGAGCAAATTAGAGGCAGAAATAAACAAATCTCTGGATTCAGTTTGAGATAAAACAAAAGTGGATAAAATCAAGATTTAAAGCACAAAACACGGAGGTCAAAGTTTCAAACGTCACAGAACAAATAAGCAAACCAGAACATAAACTTCTTAGTTTAAAACCATCTCCTATATGAATGTTCACGTTTTTTTTTTTACTTTCCCAGGTGACTGTTTAGTTAGGTTTGAGCGAAATGTCCAACTGAACAACATAACGGTGTGTTTTCCAGCAGGTGAGAAGGCACCGGGACACAGGGGCCCATTGAAAGGAAGGCGCAGGCCTGCGGCTCAGCTCCGATTGTGTAATTATTTGACTTGGTCATACTGCAGCTTTATGCAAATGAGGGGAACAATGAACGACGATGGAGATTAATTCCTCCCTGGTCGGCTGACTGAAAAAAAAAGAGAGGGGTGGAGGGAGGGCGGGGGGAGGCACTCTCTGCCAAGTGGCGCACTGTCGCCTGCAGGCCCGCATTTCGCCTTTTAAACGTGAAAAAAAAATATAAAAGATTTTCACAGAGTTTACATCTGATTTAAAAAATAAGAAAACTTTTTTTTGTTTGCCACAAGTGGATTTAAACTATTACTCTAAGATATAAAATCTTATTCAGTTCGAACTTCTTCTTTTTTTTTTTTTTTTTTTTGGTGGGGGGGTGTCCATATTTTCACAGATTAAATACAAACAAACAACAAGAGCACCAGCTCCATCCCTAAGAGGATCTGCTGAACGTCCCCAACCTCAGCCCCGGCTGCTGCCTTCTATTGTCTGAAGCCCTGATTCCGCCCTGCACGCGCCGTGCTGTGGCCCAGATTGGCCATGAGTCCTGTTTCACAGTTAAGAGGTCAATTTGCCTTTGAAACGAGAGAGAGAGAAAAAAAAGATATCCAAGCACAGGCAGACGTGGCTATTGTTCCCAAAGACCAGAGGGGCTTTCTTATTAYTTATGTATGCAGCGAGATGTCTGATTTATATGTCGAGTTAAACTGCCGAGACAGACACGTGCCCTAAAATAAAGATGCGCGCCCTTCATGGTGCTTATTTTGATGAAGGACAGCCTATAATACAGAATTTCCGTCATTCGTGCGTAAAAGTCGTGCGTAAAGCAACAGCCCACCACATAAAAACAACTCAAACACAATCTGAGCTGACTTGTGTTATGAGTGTATTTGCTCACCGTCACAGCAGACCCTTAGAGAAGAAAACCATTTTTTTTTATTTCTTTTAAGCTCGCCGTATTTCTGATTGTGCGCAGTGACGGACATTTCCTTTTGGCAACTCTAAGGCCCCCCCAGAGGAGAGCCACAAAGCAGTGGCACGTGTGCATTTGGGCAGGGGCCCATCAGACCGTAAAAAGAGGAGGGTCCCGGCGTGTGCCTCGATCGGGGAGGGGCTGCGCGCACACATTAATGTAATAAACCGCCAGTACATCTGCTGAGCTATCTGCACATCCTCCAACGAAATCCAGCAAACCCAGGCTCTGAGCCCTCCCACAACAAAATCCACTGGGATCTTGGTTTCATCCCATTGGTCGGGGATGCTGCGACGGGGGGGAGGCGAGAACAATAGCATCATTCCGGCATAAAAAGAGTGGAGCTATGCCTTGGAGACGAAAACATTTCAGCAACAGAAGAGTCGATATTCTGGGGAGATAAAGTCCCGGAAGCTTCTGGTGTTGCCATATTTTCTACCAAACCTGGATACTTCAGACTTCACCCACCTCCCCGAAGTGCCTTTCCGCTGTCACCCGCCAAGATGCCCAAAGGATTCCTGGTAAAAAGAAACAAGAAATCTGCACATGTTTCCTACAGGACTCGCTCAGACGAAGATGAGCTCCAGGAGCTCCCCACCCCAGTTGCCTTGCCGAGTCACTTGGGCCCCTCCCCGCCGATGTCCGTGGCGTCCAGTCCGGACCGCGCCTCAGCCTCGCCGGATTTCGCCGCGGCCGACGCACCGGTGCCAAGGCTGGAGAAGCCGGCCCAGTTCGGCAATCCAGAAGCGGTGTGCCAAGCCCTCTACAGCCCCACCCGACCCGTCAGCAAGGAGCACGACCGGGAATATTTGGAGCGAAGTTTCAATCTGGGCTCGCCGATTTCTGCCGAGTCATTCCCCACAACCGCCTCCCTCTCTGGCCTGGAGCATCTCCTGTACGCTCCGGTAGACCTGAAGATCGGCACCAGCAACAGCAGCCGCAGCGGCACCAACACCACCACCAGCAGCAGCAGCAGCAGCCTCACGGGACCAAACAACCGGGTCTCCAACAAACGACCCGCCACAGATGGCGCAGAGCGCAAACTCAAACCCGCCTCAAAGAAACCCAAAGCCATAAGAAAACTCAACTTTGAAGACGAGGTGACCACCTCCCCGGTGCTCGGGCTGAAAATCAAAGAGGGCCCGGTGGAGATGAAGCCGAGGGCGCAGACCTCCGCGGGCTCCAAACCCCTGGGGGAGTTCGTGTGCCAGCTGTGCAAGGAGGCGTACGCGGACCCCTTCTCCCTGGCTCAGCACAAGTGCTCCCGCATCGTCCGAGTCGAGTACCGGTGTCCCGAGTGCGACAAGATGTTCAGCTGCCCGGCGAACCTCGCGTCCCACCGCCGCTGGCACAAGCCCCGGACCACCGGCGCGCCGCCCCCGGCGGCCCCGGGCCCCGCGCAGCAGCCGGGCATCAAGGCGGAGGCGGGCAAAATGCCGCCGCTGGGGGTCAAGTCCGATGAAGCCAAAGAGATGAGCGACAGGGACAGCCCGAGTCCGGGTCTGTCCGAGTCCGGTTCTGAAGACGGCTCGTATGACTGCCAGTACTGCGGGAAGAGGTTCAAGCGGCAGGCGTACCTGAGGAAACACATCATGGGGCACCAGGTGCTGCAGAAGAAGGTGATGGAGGAGCACGGGTTTCAAACCAGCGACCGAGCAGCGGTAGAGCAGGCTCCTGTGTCAGTCGCCTCCTCCTCCTCAGCATCCTCCTCCACCTCCTCCTCCTCAGCATCYTCCTCCTCCTCTTCAGCATCCGCAGAGGACGCGTCAAACCAAAGCCCCCTGAACCTGAGCCCGGTGGACTGCCTGCTGTGCCCGGTGTGCGGGGAGAGTTTCACCAGCAGGGCCGGCCAGGAGCGACACCTGCGCCTCATGCACTCCTCCCAGATCTACCCGTGCAAGTACTGCCCCGCCACCCTCTACAGCTCACCGGGGCTCACCAGGCACATAAACAAGTGCCACCCCTCGGAGAATCGCCAGGTGATCCTGCTGCAAATGCCGGTGCGCCCCGCCTGCTGAGGACAGAACTTGTGCCTTTGATGGGGGGGAAGATTAGAAAAGAGAAAAGAAAAAAAGWGRGTTWGGAGGAAAGAAAAAAARRAAAAGAAAAAAGTTTCTGCCATAACTTTAGGCCAATGAAAGGCAGGGCTGTTTGATGTTTAAGTGGTGTCTTTTCCATGCCAATCAGTGATTGTTGAATGCTTGTCTCTATATTCCAATAGGCCTATTTTGAGATTTTATTTCTCAAATTAGTTTATCAAGAGAGAGAGAAAATACAAAGCGTTAGTTTGACTGTTAAAGGGTATTTTTCTAGGACAGCACATCAATGATAGCTTCTAGACCTAAGAAACGTCTTTAAATTCTCAGAAATTCTTTTGTTTCCTCGTTAAAAATTCTGAACTCACCACCCGGGTTGCTCCATCTCTGTAGCTTTACGCCTGTTTGTGAACCATGTGACTTTATCAACTTTGTCTTGGTGGAGGAAAAAAAAAGTGTGACTGAAGAATTCACTGTTTTAGTAGAACCACAAATGCCTTTAGAATACAGATAAATCTAGTCTGAAATAGCCTACATACATCCAAATCCCGCTGTATAACTGCCTTAAAAAAGTCAACATAGATTGTTTTTAATTTCGATTGCTGGCACATATTTTATTATTATTATTATTATTGAAGATTGTTGCAATATTTTTCATCATATTTATTTATTTATTCTAATTATTTTATGTAACTTATTGTGGTTTTTTTGTTTCCCCTCCTGTGAATTGTTCTGGCAGTTTACATGTCGTACAGCCAAAATGTTTTTGTTTAATAAATTGTTTTTTTTAAATTTTATTAGTTGTGATAATTGTCGTGGGTCGGGTTTTAATCTTGAAATCTTTACAGCTCTTTGTTTAAAAAAAAAAAAGAAACGGAAAAAAATTAAACGTGAAGCTCTTACCTTAGATGCAATCTTTTTTAAAGGACAAGTTATTTTTCTTAAATGTTGGCTTTTATAGCGCTTTGATTGTATGTGTATATCGTTGGTGTCTATCAAATAAAAATATTTTCAAAAGGACACAGCAGTCTCAGAGTTGTTGGACTTCATTTTAAAAACACAATTGAATAAAAGGCACTAGTTAATTGTTAAAAATTTAACTTTTATATCTTAAAAATATAAAAAAAAACTTGCACGAATTGATCCTGACTTTTCAGTWTCACACAAGTTGAAGCATTTATTTTGAAATTGATAAAAGGAATAAAATCCTGCATTTATTTTAATTCTGAATCACTTAAACTTAACTTTTAACCTTTAAATTAATTTTTAGACCAACATCTGCAGGTGTTGAGGCCACAATAGAAAGGGAATATTTTGCTCCATGTGTCAGCTTTAAAAAAGTGTAAAACTTTTATTTTTTTTAAAGCGAATCAGTTAAATCATCCTTCCTGTGGAAGAACAAATGTCAGGCTGCATTCAGGCCCTYGTTTATCAGACTGGTTTTCTGTAAATCATTGCTGGAGAGGCTCAAGAGACGCGGTTTCGTGGCCACAGAGAAGCACTTAGAGCCTTCTCATAAATTCCTTCCCTAATACCATGTCAGGACATGACAGGAGGACAAAGAGGTGGCGGATCAGAGCTCACCTCTGGAGCTGTAAAACATCTGTCTGCTTCTGAAAAACTCAACAGCAGCTCGATTTTTCTTGGAGCTGGACCTGATTTAGGACCAATCGGGGCAGAAATGTCACCTTRAACCTAAAATACAAGAAAAATATCTCTTTTAACTTTACTTACTTTTGTAGGTGACTCTTTTTACAGTCTTATTTATGCACTAAAACAAACTTTTAAAAAATAAAGGTAAAATGAATTGTTAAAAAATGGCACATCCTGCAGTATAACATGAAATAACACGATCACAGTGTCAGCCTGTTCTGTTGTCAGATCTAAAGTCAATGACTGAAGCCAACAGTTGAGTGAAAATGAGTTAACATCAGGATTATTTCTCTCACACACCGTTTCAGGGCTTCAATTATGTTCAAGTGCTTTTCGTGCGTCTTTATGTGGCCCAGGAGAGGCAGGGCACCTGTAGGTGCTGCAGCCATTGCACCTGTACCTCCTGGTGAGGTTCCATTACGCCGGCCTCCTCTAAGTAGGTCTGAGCAGCAGGGGAGACAGATGGGAGGAGGGTCAGGTTACCCCCGCTGCCGGCAGCACAGCCGGGCCGGGGTCAGAAACGGCGACATCACATTTAAAAAGCCAACTTTAAATCAGAAACATTCAGCTTTAAGAACCAAAACAAATAAAAAATGTAAATAARCTGTAAAATTTCAAAATGATTTAATGAAATGTTTCAATTTTCACATTTCTAGTGAAGATAGCAGGACTTCGGTCATTAAAAACAGTTTGATATGTCGACAAGTCAGGATGAAAATTTCAAGCTTTTTTTGCTCCCTTACAGGTACAAAGATTATATTACAGGCATTAATAGATTTATATTAAAAGGGCAAAGGAGGCCCTCAAATTTGACACAATGTACAAAGATTTCTAAAACAAGAGGAAAAAAAACTATCAACACTAAGACTAATTTTCTTCACAATATAAGATGAACAATCTTGGTCCAAATATCTCCAGCTACTAAAAAGGGGAGAAAATATCCCTTCAACAGACAGATGTCTAAAACCTACAATCTTTCGATCGACATCATTCCTTCRAGTGGCGATCTGATGTATATATTTGTACATTCTTTAAAAACACAAAAAGCACAAACGGGACTGTCAGACCTCCTGCTGTTTGGATTACTCCTCTGCTGGAGGAACGAACAAACAAAAGGGAGGTGAGATGTTGGCAGAAACGGGGTAAGGCATAGGAGAGCAACAGATGGGGATAGAGTTGCAGCTTGGGTGGAGCTCTCGGAGGATGTGAGTGTGTACGTGTGTGTTGTGTGTGTGTGTGTGGGGGGGGAGGACACCTGGCTACCATGACAACCTGAGCGGGCAGGTTGGAGGAGCGAGAGCGCAGGCCTGGTCGTTGCTAGGAGGCCTGGTAAGAGTTCAGCTCTGGCATGCCAGATACACCCGGACCCCCTCCCCCCTCTTTCCACCTCGGGGCCTCAGGAGGCCACATGGGAAGAGCATCATGGGAAAAAATAAATAAAAAATAGGCGAGGAGTTGATGCCACTCAACTCAATGCACAGATAAAGGTGGAAAAGCACAACATTTTAAACACATCTGTTGTTTCTGTGGGAGGCACAAAACTCTGAGCACTTTGGTTGATCGAGTTCGTCTGAAGAATAAACCTAATTTGACAAAGTAGGTGCTGCTTTAGTGGTGGGGGACTTTATCTTACTTTTTAAGACAGAGGCACTGTGAGAAACTCTCTCAGAAACACACACACACACTCAAACACACACTCACACCAGTGCATGGAAACAATTTTACCTGAGGCTCTGGTGGTTTGTTTTCCTCTACATGAACACACAAAAACAAAACACGTCATCAAGTAATCATCTCTAATCCTAAAAATCTACCAAACACACATAAAAAAATCAAAGTTTAAAGCAATAAGGACTCCAAGCAGAGCTTTCGACACTAATGACAAGTGAGTGCAAAAACGTTGGTGAGTTGCGAATGTTGGAATGTTTTAGCTTCACCGGACAGGAAACGGGCAGCAGAGGAAAAGACAGCAGGAACTTATCCAATTACCGGACGCGAGCCCAAGTTAATGACATCAGAAAACAATTACAAACGCAGTCTTTTCTCATTCCAGCAGAGTTCCATAAATCAAATCATGACAAAATCTATTGGAATTCATTTAAAAAGGGATGTGCGGGAGGTAAAAAAAAAAAAAATACAAAAACAAATCTCATTTCATCTCAAGTTAGAAAGACGTCATCGATTGTCCTCTCGAAAAGAAAGAAAGGAAAAATCCTGGGACTGTGCGCACCTCAGGGACTCCGTGCGCAGGTCAGTAGTGCAGCGAGTGAAAAATCTACTTGGGGGCGGCGTTCCCCCAATGCATCCGTCTTTTCTTGTTTCCAGTGCGGGAAGATGCTTCACAAACATTCCCCAAACTGGTGCTACAGGGCAGAACAGCTCCAGCATCAGTCTGTCACTTTCTGAAGTGGCATCTGTTACRACGGGACGGAGACAGATGCAAAAAAAAGAGATAAAAACAGGCGTATCTATAAACGGATACCAATCTCATGTGCAGTTTGAGCACTAACTGTCATTCAGTGCTTCTTTACATTAAGTGTTGAATTAAACGAGACAAAGAAACAGCTTAAAGTAGTCTCCCATTCCCTTACTATAGTAAGAACTTTGTTTTTTCTAGCGCCTTGAGAACGCTCTAGAAAATTAGAATAAAAGTTACATTAACATCACAGTTTCCATTAGGTAAATAAGGTCATCCTATGCTGTTGGACCCACGTAGTTTAGCCTCGTGCCCGTCTCAAATAACTGAGCAACAAACTGAAATGCAGCAAAATCACAGATGGCAAACAAATGAAAAATTACAACAAGTTAAGTTTGATAGAAAACAGGAAAAAGAAAACCAAAAAGGTTTTGCAGTCACAGCTGGGTGTGTGGAGGTTCTTTAAGAACAGATTAAATGCTTCACTTGGGTGGGAGAAACAAAACAAAACAAAACAAAACAAAACAAAACAAAGGGACGGTTGTAGAGCTCAGTTTGAAGATTTGCTCATAGCGCTTGCTGATCTGCGGAGTTTTCCCGAAACTCTCTGTTTCGTTGAGCGGGGCATGGTGGGAGACACCTGGTCCGTAGAGTCCGTCGTGGTGTTTCCGCTGTCGGTGCTCACGCTGCCAGTGAGAGATCCTGGGAGACAGAAGGGATTGAAGAGAGGAAAAATAAGATTACGTGACAGTTTCATAGAGCTCGGCTTGAAGCGTCGTACATCCCAGCATGCTTCGCCATGCATCCGACCCCACATGAACCCAAGATTCACCCAGTTCATTGGACTTTCACCCACAATAACAAACCATAATATAAACTACCAACAAAAAACACATAAAAAGATAGGTTTTTAATTATTTTTATGGAGATTAACTAGAATTATGAAAGCATATGAAACATTTGAGAAATTACATGCTTTTTTTTACGCGCTGTAGAAAAGCAAAGCTTGTTAAAAGAGAAGCCAACTTCACTCCCAAGTTTCTTTTTAGGTGCTTATATGATGTAAAGAGAGGCAACCTTTGCGGGTAAAAAGAAAGTATCCAGTTCACAGCATGATGGCAGAATGCTTTGAATGAAAGTAAAATTACACATTACGCTCTTGTTGTGAATATTGGAGCCTTCCCATTGTCAAACCTCGTCCCTTTTCACAAAAACGTCCCATCACAGATTACGGGATGGCAAACAGTAATAAGCTGGGAGGTGGGCATGAAATGCTGTTGAGGACAATCACGTATTGTGAACGTCGACTTCCTCGCTGTGCCCCCTGACCGAATCCAAACTACGGGCCCCCCGCCTGCCTCGAGTTTAAACAACTTTTCTGCTTTGTTGAGATGGCATCTGCTTGCCTATTTTCTTTCCTATCCTTTATTTCCTGCCATTTTTTTTCGGAGGCATCTCAAGTTGCAGCGGCTAAAAGGAATGGCAGATGGCGGGAGGAACAGACACAGCAGCACATTGGACACCGGGCAGCATCCAGCACCGCGGCTCGCTGGGAGAGGAGGCCGGGCCACAGATGAAACACTGGGTGTGTGCATTGTAAAGGCCTGCAGGGGAGGTGAACGGCCTGATTGTAGATCCTAAAATCTGCATATAAATATATAAAAAAAAATGGATGGGCTTGGCTAAATAAAAAAAGAGTGGGCTGCCTTTTGAACGTGGTAAATTTTTACATTCCTATATTCATTCCAACAGTAAACACCAAACACATCTAGTGTAAACAATTACCATAAACTGAAAGGGAATACCTACTCAATAGCTTTCCCTTCACGGCAGTAAAACACGCTGCACCTAACAGTTATTGCTCCCGCTGGCACTAAAACGACTGGTAGGTTCTGCTTTTGTAAGAAAGAAATTTCCTAGTAAGCGACGAAGCGGGAAAAGATATACCCCAATCAAGAAAAGAACGCCGTGCCATCATTGTTTCCATTATAAACACGCATCCCTCGCTCTTTATGTGGCCAAAACTTCTGTACAGTCATGCTAATTCCAGACGGAGAGAAGAAGGGAAAGATCGAAAGAGAAAGAAAATGAAGGGAGTCTTTAAATGGCCCTGCAATCTCATTGGTCCCCACCGCAGCAGTTCAAACAAGGCTTTAGATGACAAAGACGTCTTCCAGTGCGGCAGGTGTTGGTCTCAGAGTCTGCCCCAGGCAAACAGGCACACTCCAACAGGAGGAAATGAAGAGGAGGGGTATGTGGAGGGACGGAGGGGGGAGGAAAGAAAGAAAAGAGAAAAAGTGTTTGCTGAGGGAAGAGATAAAGGCGCACCACATGCAGAAGCGAGGACCAGAAGTGTAGCCGTATTGTTCATGCTGCTACTTAGTCAGGTGCTAATTGTCGCCACCGTGCATCACTCTCAATTACCAGCCTGGCCTAAACAGTAGGACACCCCCAAATAAACAGCCTGGTTTCTCTTTCCTTTTGCATTTGTAAGAGCACTCAGTAAATAAAGCTTGGTTAGTACTGGATGGAAAAAAAGGAGCATTTGGGGAAAAACAGCCAGGATGAGTGAACGAGTGAAGGGTAAGTAGGCAGCCGGATCAAAACAAGACTTCCGGTCAGACTTGGGGCTTACCTTCACCTCATATAGCATTTGGACCTTTAAGATATTTTTTTAATCTAAAAAGGGAAAAACAGAGTAGATAATCATGTGAGAAAGAGCAACAAAAACGGCAGCAGAACAAACACAACGCCGCTGAGACAAACCAAAACTCTTTCAGGGGTTTAATGGAGGGAACTTCAGACAGCGTGTAAGTTAGATTTAACTTGAAGGTTTTAGGAAACAGAGTGAACTCATTTGGGATGATGAGTTAATTAACAAGTGGTATTTTTCTGGAGGTACTTTGATGTCTGATGGCACCTATCGTAATAACAGAGATTAAAAATAAACACGTCAGACCATTTTGAAAGCCAAAGCACAAATGGTGCGCAGTTCACATGGAAACAACAAGCTTCGAAACATTTACCACCAATGTTACGAGTAGAGAAGTACTCAGGGTGAAAGAGTAAAAGATGCTGGGGCACCTCAAAGGCTCATTGGAGCTTTTATGTCATTTTATCAAGAGAGAACTGTTGGTTTCTCCTGTGTAGTTAATCATTTTAAGAAGTACAGTAAATGACCATCAAATCACACACACAAAAAAACACTAAAAAGTGAGCAAGCAGTGTGAGGTGCAACAAGAACAGAGCACTGATGGTGGAGTTTGTGAGGTGGATGAGCTAGCTCATGCATGAAGCCATGATGCTGAAGCTGTTGATACTATAGAGGAAATAATAAACAGATGAATGAACTCAGGTTAAAGATCCTAGCTAATCAGCTAGATTAGCTAGATTGGATTAGATTCAGCTAATTCCTKAATTTCAGAGGTTCTTTGTACAAATCGTCATGCAGGACTTGTATTTAAATACAAAACCTGTAAATGAAGGCTAAATTGAGTGCAGACCCTTGTTATTTGATGACGTTAGGCACGCACACACACACACACACACACACACACACACACACACA